TTTCCCTATTGTCGATTATCCTACCAGCTACCTTCCATCACCAATACCCCTACTTTCATACCATAGCCCACAAGCTCTAGTTTTGGTTGCATAACCAACAACTTTCCCTCTTCACTAACTAAAGCCTCCCACCAAATCCTAGCAGACCATTCAACCGATAGTGACCTTTAAATACTAGCACAAAAACCCACCACTACCAAACCATAAGTCATGATTACCCTTCTCACTTAATAGACTACTAAGAGCATACATAGACATTCATGTAAGTATATACATACTCACTAGCCACCATAGCTCCTTTACTCCAGCCTATATATAGCAATACCCACAAATCCAACAACCTTCACCCACCACTATATCCATGATAAAGCCACCATCCACAATCGTGTTTTCCCCTATCTTTTGATTCCAATTATGGTTATCAACATAACAACTTGTCACTGCCACTCACTAAAGTAAAAACCCAGTCATATTAATAACCTTTTAGTCCTAAAATAGAGAAGACATAACGTTGATCTTCACTGCTAGCCTACAAAAAAAAAAGGAAATGGGGGATCAGAGCTTTGGGAGGCTAGATCTCCCTCATCGGAGAACTTGAAAGAACACCTCTATTGGAGTGAAGAGGAGAGAGAGGAGTTTCGGATCTAATAGCTAGCCATCCTCCAGTAGTGGCAATGCGTGAATCCACGTGCCAACAGTAATCCCAGTAATTCTCGTATACATTAAACATCTTAATAGGTCAATTTATGAACTCAAACCATTATTGGACACATTGCTAAAATATCATGAATTTTATAACCAAATGTTTGGTGTTTAGTATAATATTTGGACTTTTTTATACTGTTAATTTGATTTGACTTGTGTTTAGTTTCAAAAGAATTTGATTTATTATGTTGAATTATGGATTTATTTTCTGGGTTGTGATTGCTTTATGAACGTTAATATTAACATATGAGTTTGTTTTGGTGTCGATGTTTGGTGTATTTAGACTAGCATGAAATTTGAATGAAGCATGTGAATTAATAAAATTGGTATGAATGTTCAATGTTTGCTTGCTTTTGAGTCAAATTTCAAATAGTAAATAAGTTGTTTTAAATTGATATCTTGTTTGATTTAAAACATATTATTGTGTTTCGTTGAATGTGGCTTTAGTTAAATTTTTAAAAGTTCGATGAAAATTTTGCAAATCAATTTTGATACCCCCACTTTTGTTTTTACCCTTTCATATTTAGTATTTGGAATTGTGACATACACGTGAGGTGCTTTTTCAATATTAAACAAATTGATTCTCTTTAAAAAACATAACAAAAAATCTTTTCTTTAAAAATATAATTTCTATTTTAATTTGCATATGGACAAGTCTCTCAAAAATGTAAAAAATATCATATTGTATCTCCATACAAAAATTCAAGAATATGTATTTTCATGCATTTTAGGTTTTAATAATTAGTTTATTAAAGCCTTGAGAACCTGACCTATATTTTAAAAAATACCAAAAAAATTATTTTTTTGGTTAGTATCTAGAATTATGAATTTATACGTAAGATGTATTCCTGATATTAAATGAAAAGTTAATTCGTTTTGTTTTTATATTGATATTAGAATGGTTAGGTTTTTTTTACCTAATAAGATCTCCTTATCGATGAGGATTTTTCTTCAACTTTAGACAGACGTCCAATGATTACAAAACATAACAATATCTTAGCTTATATTAGACAAATGAACAATGCAGCTTACCACCAGGTAAGGCATATTAAGGGTTCTAATACTTTCTATTTATGCAACTAGTTCCCGTACCCGAACTCTAAAACTAGTTAAGGTTTCTAGTAACCAAAATACTAGGTGGCAACTCTAATTTTTCTTTTTTTTATATATAGATAAAGAACAATACTTTTTATATATATATATATAGATAGATAAAGAACAATAATTTCCTATTCTTTTCACCTACACCATTAACAATAATTCCTTGTTCTTTTCACCTACACCATTCTCGACCATTCCCGATCCAGGGGGATAATCATCGTGACGTCGTACATGTGTGACAAGAACTTCCATATATTTATACTTGGTCTCTAGTCTTTTCTTCTCTTTTTTTCCTTTCCTTTTCTTCTCTATTTTTTCTTTTTTGTCTTTCATCTTTTATCTTTTGTCTTCTATGTCTTTTTATTTTATTTGGTGACCTTGTTGTCTATGTATAGACAGACTATGAGCTATTTACCTTTTAATATCCTTTATCTAAGAGGTATTTGAGAAAAAAATGTTATCAAAATTATTTAAAATACCCTTATTTAGAAGGAAATTAAAGTAGGAACCATGAAATATATTTGGAATGAGTTTGTTTTTAATTTAATTTGAAACCAAACTTAATAAATTTAATCTAGATGCAAACCCTAATAAATTTAATTTGCTTAGTCATAAAAAGCTTAGATCATTGGCTAGACATGTTGACATTTTAGTGTTTACAAGAAAAAATTTCTTTAAATAAATTCAATGTTTTTTCTATCATAATTTTTGGGTTATTCCCTAAATTTTTTATCTTTTTTCATTTTCAAAATAAAAATAAAATAATAAAATAATGATAGCAAGAAGACTAATATTTTGGCAAAAGCAAGCTTAGAGGATTTCAAATGTAGAAAAATCATGTTGTAATTTTGGATGGAATTGGGAGCATAATTGTACTCTATTTTACCCAAAACTAAAGAGACAATGCAGATTTAAGATCAAGTTACATGTTTTAATCATTGGCCAAATTAAAGTGAATTATATTTAAGAATTAATTTGAGTCCAATTGAAATATTTAATTAGGTGCAAGGACTTAATTATACTTTAAATAATTTAAATTAATTTTATTTAGGGTTTAATTGATGAATAATTAAGTCTGAGGACCTAATTTGTGGTTAATTAAGAAGATTGAAATTTTAGGAGGCCAAATTGATTTTTTACCAAGTTAGTTGATTAAAATCAATGGTAAAATTATAAGAAAATCAAAGTTGTGGTATGAATTAAAGGTTTAATTGTAGAAATTCACAACCAATAACCATTTTGCAAAAAGGCACCAAACTATGAGGATTCAATTGATTGAAATCAAAAGTAAAATTAAAAAAGTTAAAAGTTTGAAGGTCAATTAAAGGTCAAATTGCATAAATCCAGGACCCATGACTAAAGTAAAAAAAAGTTGAAATTCAAGGCTGACATTGAAGTTCAATAAGGAAAAAATTATATCAAAGGTTTAAGGTTAATTAGAGATGTAATTGAAACAAATTAAAAGATGGAGGGATAAATTAAACTTTGGTCAAAACCCTAAATCAAAACCCTAAAATGTCCAAAACAGTGTCGTTTTGAATAGTAAAAAAAGGACCAAACTATATGTCGTTTTATGCTTGTTCGTCTTCTTGTCTATTTAAGTTAAAAAAAACCGCTTGAGTGGCCTCTTTTTTAAGACATTTAATGCCTTATCTCTCTATCAAATTTCACAAAACTTACATGCAAACTATGACTTGATATCTAACTACACCCTAGTGTAGGCTTTTCTAGTCGATTAAAGCCATAATAGTTGTGATATTTCCTTAAAGTGGCCAACTTGAACAACCCCTTCTACAGTAACTCTTCCAGGGCATGATGACAACGTTGAACCAACAATTGAAATCCTTCCTAGTCGAATCAAGAGCTAAAATTTAGCACTATTAAAGACAAAATAAGGGTGGATTCCATGGCCTAAAGGAGGAGAAATTATAAGCCAAAGTCTAGAAAAAAAGCCATTCATTTCCCCAGTTTCCATTTTTCTTCTCCTCGATACCTCTTCTTTCACTGCACCTTCACTACTACCACCACTACTAACCACTCCTTGATCTTTTTTGCACCATTAGAAACACAACCAGCAACATTCCTTCTCCGGCAAGGCAAGTTCTCCCTTCTTTTTCTCCTCCTAAAACCCTTATAGCTTTTACATTCTATATACAATGGCCATGATAATTATCCCATGGTCACTAGGCTAGGCCAGTGACCATGCGAGTTTGGGTTGGAACCAACCAAAATGGCTGGGCCATGTCTAGCTTAGTAAAAAAGAAAAGGCAATCTGTATGGCAACCAGTCGGTCCAACCTAACCCAACTAGGTTCGACCTAGTTGGTTAGGGCGGGCCTAACCTAATATTATAATAATAATAGTAATATAAAAAATTCAAGGGTCATTTCAAATATATTTATGATTTTCATGTATGTTTTTCTACCAATTTTACATAATTCAAGCTATATATTTACACTATAAGATATAAATTCGATATTAAAATACCCGGTTTTCTCTAAAAAAGTTTCAAAAACTTTTGAAAATTAAAAAAAATCTTAAAATTTTGTAAATTAATTTCCTCATTCCAAAAAAAAAACAATAAAGAAACAAAAAATATTTTGTTTTCATGCATACGGTCAAATCCTAAAAATCTTCCAAGTATATTTTGATTTTAAAAAATAAAATCTTTCTCATGTTTTAAAATACAAAATGGGTATTGTAATCAATTTACGATTAGGATTTGGCCAAAATATCAAAAGCTCTTCATCAATCATTTTATTCACTTTATATTTAAAGTGTTAAGATTTAGTTGTAGACTTTAATACTTAAGGGTGTAAAACTATATGGTAAAGTATATCATTAGATATTAAAGATACAAAAATAAAAATTATAAATAAATAAATATGATGCTAAAATTTAGACATTAAAATGGTTAGCATTTGACCTAATAAGATAAAGACTTTCTCATGAAGGAAGATCTGTCTTATATATCAGAAAAGATCAACGAATAAAAGCTTAATATAAAAATAATAATCAAACAACAATATTACAGCTCAACTCAGATAAAATATATTGGGGATGATGTGTTTTCCACTTATCCAATCAACTTTTTACCTAGACTCTCACAAACCATAATCATAATAAATAATAACTCCTAAATCTTAATAATAATTGTTTAACTAAACCCAAAACTTTCCTTTCTCAATTCCTCCAGGAAGGAGTAAAACACGTCAGTGTCATTCTACATCACCCGTGACATTGTCAAATAAATGATGCTTATACTGATATCAAACAAGGAGTGAAAATAAAGAAAAAAGAAAAGGTGATAACTTACTTGGTGTCATTAAAATGCCAGCCTTTTAGATTAGCTATTTCGATCAAAACACGTTTCCAATTGCCCACCTTGTCTGAACTGATTTTTCTCTGATGCTCGGCAAGTGCATTTCCATAACTGTTACTCAGCTCTCGGACATGGGTTGGATCAACATGGTAAAATACTGGTATAACAATTTGCTGTAACGTTTGCCTGCATTCGAGGATCTTCTCCAGTTCTTCCAAACACCAAGGAGAATCTGCATAGTTTTTGGAGAAAATGACGATTGAAACATTTGATTGTTCGATTTTTTCCAAGAGGATCCGTGAGATCTCTTCTCCAGCACCAAGTTTGTAGTCGATAAATGTTTCGATTTCATTTTGATCTAGAGCATCATAAAGATGTCTAAGGAAATTATGGCGGACGTCAGCACCTCTAAAACTAAGGAACGCATCATATTTCCATGGAGGAGTAACGGCGGAAGAGCTTGACGCCATAATACAAAAGTTGGCACAAGTGAGCGTGCGTGGAGAGTTTTGGTGAAGATCCAGATGAATATCCTGAAACATTAAGCACACAATTTTAGATACTAGAAACCCGAATTAAAAAGGACATGAATATCCGAGTGTAAGAATTTACACTGAATTCCAACTTCAAAAGGTAGTATAGAATTATAAAAGGATAATACATTTTCGACATGCAACAGTGCATGCGCTTTTGAAATCTGATATGAATGTTTTACATCAAATTCCGCCACTATTCATTAACAGCCCGCTGCGCCAAGGAAAAAAAAAATCTTCATGGAAAGATTATCAAGACTCCAAAACAACATAAATGATTGCGAAGAACAAACAAATAGATTTTAATGATAAAAGAGAGAGTGACATAGGAAATAACTCTACCAGTTAACCAAAGGGCCTAATGATCTTTCACCATGTATTCGCCAGGACGCTAGCTATTGTATAGAGAGAATCATTCTTTCGCTTCAAAGAGATCAACTGAAGAGAAGTTGATTTAAATTTCCAGGAAGAAACCTTTTTAAAGTTAGCCTACTCCTGTTTACGTGAATGAACTAAAGCAAATTAGACGCGCGTGATTAATAAACAAAGACTGAACATTTTCTCTTAATTATTCTGTTAATCATGATTTGACGAACCCATTAACCAAAGACCTAGGATATAAAAAGGCATTAACTATATGTTATAGCTAGGCAACCCCACCAACATGTTGCAGCTCAAATTGATGCACTGCATGGGAAAGGATATATTGTCTTGTTGATAGCAGCCTAGCAGGAATCAAGTGGAGGGCCGACCAGTTTCATAACTACTGATTTCGCCTGTTTTGTCCCACATTGCAGTTGTGATGGAAAATAAATTTCAAGAGGACCCAACAGATTGAGAGTAGAATGACCATATCATGAGGCAAAGCGCAAGTGGACGAGCAAGTTGATGAGATCATAATTTAAGCAGTTGGAAAGGAAGCAATTGTCTGGTTCCAGCTTGTAGGTAAATGGGATTCAAATATTTTTATTTTTCTTTACTTATTTTTTCAACTACAAACTTTAACTTTTGCTGTATATGTGAAAGAATATTAAACTCTCTTGTTTCTTGTATATGTTATATGTTAAGGCTGTAATACACATGATTTATAAGATTATAGTCTATTCTAAAAAAGTAAACATAGCAAACGCAATAGGAAGAAATACTTATTACAATAGTTGGCCAATATCTTTCATTTAACACTCCCCCTTCAAGTTGGAGTTGGAGTGTGAATATCGACTACACCTAGCTTGCAAAGATGGGATTGGAACAGGGGTGGTGTAGGCAGTGGCTTGGTGAAAATGTCAATGACTTGAAATTATGTTTGTACATGAGCTGTCTTGATTTCATCGTTTTGAATTTTTTCATGAATGGTGTGGTAATCCAATTCGATATGCTTGGTTCATGATTAGTACTTAAAAGTGCGTTTTTATCATGGTTTTATATTATCATTTTGCACTTGAAGTATCAATAACTCCTTAACTAAAATATGTTTTATAATAATGTATCTAATAATATAAGATACCTATAATTTATGGTAAATGTAATAAGATAAGATACCTATAATTTGTGGTAAATGTCTATTTTTAATGCAGGTCTATCACATAAATGAAAGGATTGATTGATGACTTGAAGAACTTAAATTGCATGGATAAAGAGATGGTCAAACTTAGAGAAGAGATGTTGGTGCAATCCAAACCGGAACACTGTTCGGTAATTGGGTTATATCTGGAGCTACAGATCTCAGATTTAGGTCCAATTTATATGGATGGAAAGGTAAGACATAGGCCTACAACTTTCATATGGAGCCCAAGATCTAAAAAGGCCATTATCAAGTCCAAATTGTAGCAACAACAAAGAAGCCCGAATCTGTCTTCCAGCCCGAGCACTGTTCGGTATTTTGGCCATATCTGGAGTTCTAGAAGTCCAAATGAGCTGAATGTTTTACACAAGAAAGCTGAGACAATTGCCTACAACTTTCATGTTTGCAACTAGCTCCAGTTTTGACGTTATCAATGACGTTTTGGGCAGACAAGAGAAGATAAGGATTGTCACCAAGTCAAAAGTTGGCCACCCACTTATCAATTAGTCATCAAATCAATAGTTCCCAATTTTGGCCTATAAAAGGAGGCATTTGCCATGCATTTAGGCATCTTGGTTTCCAGATCAAGATCATGCTCTTCCTTTCTCTCTTTGTATTTTTTATGCTTTGTTTTCATTAATATTAAGTTTATGCCTTTCATTTTCTTTCCTTTACTTAGTTAACTTTTATGTTGTTATTTTGTTTATCTATTTTTCTTTCTTTCATTATGTCTAGCTAAGTTAATTATGTCAAGGTGAAAAGGTTACACTAATGGTGTGAGAATAAGTATAATGTAAACTTAATATGGACTTTAATGTTTGATACTAACATGTTTTATATTTGTTATCTTGTTCACTCTTTAATACTTTGCTTGTTAAATGACTAATCTTGATTTATGTTGTATAACACTTGGTACAACAAATGCTTGGCACTTTCATAGCCCATAATGTATGGTATAACCGACACCTGAGCTATGAAAGGAACTTGATTTGTTGTTAACATAAGTTATAATCATGAATGCTTGACGAGATTTACAAGTATTAGCATTAATTGAATAAGATGACTAATGTAATCATGTTAACAATATATAATATGATTGGAACCTCCTTTGTGTGTGGTTTCCAATTTAATAATAAGAGTTTATACTATACTTGTTTGATATACCATTAGTGGAACCTCTAACCTTGACATTTGTTATTATTATTGCTTAATCCTTACATTAATATTTTATCTCTAAGTTCTCATCATCATCATCTTCTTCTTCTTCTCTTTCTTTATTATTATTATTATTATTACTACTACTACTACTACTACTACTACTACTACTACTACTACTACTACTACTACTACTACTACTACTACTACTACTACTACTACTACTACTACTACTACTACTACTACTACTACTACTACTACTACTACTACTAATTTATAATTTGTACAATTAACCTCCCTGTGGTTCGACCCCGGTCTTGCCGGGTTATTTATTACTTCGACACTCCTGCACTTGGGAGAAGACATCAACCTTTTAGTCGTGTCAAGTTTTTGGCGCCGTTGCCGGGGAGGTAAGTTTTTGTATAAATTATAATATTTATTTTATTTTCTCTTTTCACTTTTCTTGTATATAACTTTGTTTATTTTCTCGTGTTTCTTCTTCTTTTGTTTTCTTCTTCCTTTTGTTCTATTCCTACACGTGCATGAGAGTGTGGTCACGTACATCAAGTGGTAGACTTTGTAGGATATCCTCATCATTTTCAGAAAATATGGCCGAAGAAGATAATCAATCACTTCATAATGAAAATAATGAGAATAACCGTGCTAGAACACTTAGAGACCACATGAATCCCACAAGAACAAGTGCACCATCATGCATAGTTTTTCCTCCTGATGCATCTCATTTTAATTTTAAACCAGATATTATTCAACTTTTACCTTCTTTTCATGGTTTAGAATTGGAAAATTCATACTTGCATTTAAGGGAATTTGAAGAGGTTTGCAACACATATAATAACTTAAATTGTAGCATGAACACCATCAGATTAAAGCTTTTCCCTTTTTCATTAAAAGATAAAGCTAAAACATGGCTACAAAATTTAAGACCAGGATCCATTCGTGCTTGGGATGAAATGCAACAACAGTTTTTAAAGAAGTTTTTCCCATCTCATAGAACAAACTCTTTCAAAAGACAAATCACCACTTTCACTCAAAAACCAAGAGAAACATTTTACCAATGTTGGGATAGGTATCGAGACTTGCTTAGTACTTGCCCTCATCATGGTTTTGAAACATGGAGATTGGTTTCACATTTCTATGAAAGGTTAACACCTAAAGATAGGCAAATGGTTGAATTGATGTGCAATGGAACTTTTGAAGATAAAGACCCTGATGAAGCAATGGAGTACTTAGACTTGTTAGCTAAAAATGCTCAAAATTGGGACACTGCGGGTACTTGTGAGGCACCGAGTAAAACTCAACCTCATACATCTAGTGGATGTATGTACAACCTTAGGGAAGATCATGACCTTCAAGCCAAGTTTGCATCTTTAGCTAAAAAAGTCGAGGCACTAGAATTGAAAAAGAGTGGTCAATTAAACTCTGTTGAAAACATTGTGTGTCATATCTGTGAAACAAATGAACACTCAACCAACGATTGTCCAACCTTGCCTTCTTTTAAAGAATGTCTCCATGAACAAGCCCATGCTTTAAATAGTTTCCAAAGGCCCAACCATAACCCATACTCACAAACATACAATCCTGGTTAGAGAAATCACTTGAATTTCAGTTGGAAGAGTGGCAATGCACAAACTTCACCACCACAGTTCCAAGCACACCATAATTTCCAAAATTATCATGGATATGCACCTCTTTATGCTCCATCTCCTACAAGAAAGTTTGAGGAAACTTTGTATGCATTCATCGAAAAGCAAGAGACAATCAACACTCAACTTGCTCAAAGCATAACAGATTTTAAAGATACTCTTGCAAAATTCACATCTACTCTCAGTTTCCAAGAGAAAGGTAAGTTTCCATCTCAACCACAACAAAATCCTAAGGGGCAATACAATGCAAATGCAAGTAGTTCCAGAAGCCAACACATGGATCAAGTCAAATCAGTCACTACTCTGCGCAATGGTAAGGTTATTGAAAAACCCTCTCTTGAACCTTATGAGAAAGATGATGAGTCAATTTCTAAGGGAAAGGAAGGGGTTGAATCTGAAAATTGCAAAGAAACGACTGATTCTCCGCCAGCACTTCTATTTTCTCATGTCATGACCAATCAGGAAGAAATCGAGGATGAAAAAGGCATCGAAAAGGTTGATGCGAATCTTTTATCAAAAGTGACAACAGATTCGACACCCGACATCACACCAATCGATGATTACTTTCCTGATGAATCTCTACTTTCTCTTATTTCAATGCCTTGGTTTGCTAAAAATAT